GTACGGATCCTACCGTTATTTCAAATGCACAAAAATATGACCTTGTCCAACTGAAATCATTTCATGTTTTACTTTGTGCTTGTTTACTTGTTCTTTATACCTCAATCTTCAATTTTAGTTATTATTACCTAGTTTATATTAAGTATTGGGGGCTCTCACTCACTAGTAATTTCCAATTCCTCGTTTCGTTCCATTTGGGTTTTAATTCCTGGGGAATTTTCCCCCCAATACTTTTCTGTAATATTATTTACTTATCTGTTGATTATTTTACTGCTTTTGCTTTAATTTTTCTGTCTATTCTTGATTCTACTAGGCTCTTGAATCGCTCAGGAGTTTCGTCTTGCCAGCTCTTAAATCGCTTAAGTCTGGTGGTCAGTTTGCCTCTCTTGAATCGCTCAAGGCAAAAGCTCTCTGCTTTTAAATCGCTTAAAAGTTTTCTTTACTACTTATATATATGAGTATCTTATATGCAGCTCTTGAATCGCTCAAGGGTTTGCTCTAGATATCTACATGTATACTGTCTTGAATCGCTCAAGAACGTTCACTAGATATTTACATTTGGCCTGTCTTGAATCGCTCAAGAGTTGTCTGGCCTACTTAAAATATATTGCTGAGAATATATATTTTTTTCCCTTGTGGCCTCTTTCTTTGCTTAGGAGGCTACCTCGTCAGTACACGTTTGTTTTTGTAGTATTGTATATAGTTAGCTTATAGTGTTGAGTGAGTAGCCCCTGATACGCCAAAGTATAAGTGTATTTTCTTTTTATCTTGCTATCTGCCTCATTTAAATATCTCGAATTGTAATAAACAGGTAAACTGTTGTTTCATCGTTTTTGTTGTGTATAAATTGCATGGAAATATGTAATTATCGAAATTCGAAAAAAATGCAATTTGTGTTCGCAAATTACAAAATATGCTCTATTTTGACACGTACATGCTTTCATACGTTTTTTGCTCCAAACAATCTGATGCATAATATTCTCTAATATTTTCCCCGTTGACGGTATTTAATAGTATAGTTAAGTAATTTGCACTAGTAACCATATTTATTCATCCTTATTGTTTTTTTTTATACAAGTTTTGAGGATATTGTCGGTGCAAATGAAGAAATACCACTGATAGCGTGATGTCATGTCAACAGACAAAAAACTATATCGTAAAATCATATCCACAGCTATCCATGACATAATCACTTGTGGATTGTACTCTCAAACTAACAGTTCATCGAATACAAGAACTTTTAAACTGATAACTAGATGTATACTAGATGTACGTGTATTTACCAACGATGATAGCGAAGGAAACATGCGTTGTCTGCAAAATTACCTCCCTTTACAGCACTCTCCATGTATACGGCGGCCCATACAGGCCATATCAATAGTAGGCAATATTTCACACAAAAAACACAAAAATTAGTCAATTTCCCCCTTTCTGATTTCTTTCGAATTTAACATGTGATATATACAAACAGGATCTACTTATATCAAATGTGTTTGTTTCTTTAGCAATTATTTGAGGTATAATGGTAGAATAGTTAGACTAATGGACGGACGCTGCACCATGACATAAGCTCACTTGCCCTTTCGGTGGGTGAACTAAAAACCGGCCGAAAAGGCACAAAAATAATTTTCAACAACAAATAATTGTAGTAACAAGGTTAGATTGGTATATAGCACACAAAGTGCGCAATAAGTTGACAATACACTCAAACCAGTCCGACAAAACAAAGTTTTGCTATGGAGCTAGCTCCGGGCCATCAGCAGGCAGCAGGTGCCATAAAAGGAAGAGGATGGGAGATCACTCCGTGGTGGGAAAGCTTATAATTCCCAAGGATGGACTGCTACTCGTCTGTCAATACATTGGTATATATATATATCAGATTAAATATATTAAAACAAAACTTCAAACACAACATTTGCAGGTTCCCCACGTCAGGTGCACTTGTATAAGTGAGTGATCTGTGGTGTTGTGTTTATAAAACTAAAGTCAGATTTGATAGGACTCCATTAACAACACTGTATAAGTACCCTCTAAAACAAACAATCATCAACAGCAGCACTTCACTAACATACAAGACACACACAATAACACACACCCTTGGTCATCGGCTGGGGTCTTTCCGCGCCAACTTCAATCATGGCACTTACTCTCATTCTACACCTTTTCCCACTCACTATTTATATATCACTGTCAAATGTGCAACATGTATGCAAAACATTGCTCTAGTAAGAAAGGTTAGTAGGTGATCATACACAGTCGCCACAGCCTCCTGAAAGACAGTGTTTGCATATCAAACCACATAAATCACCTAACTTAAACCTTCAAACTAACACAACCCCAGCAGTTTCTATTCCGCACCCTTTACTCTACATTATCAACATCCTTTATAAATTCCCCCTTCTTACTATTCAAACACATCATGACTTGTATAAGTACCCGCCGGACAGGGGTTATACAATTTGTGTTTATAAATCCTCCTTAAAAAATAACATACCTACAAACTCCAACAAGCTATTTTCATAAGACCTTTGTTCACACTCCCTCACGCTGTTCTCTAACCTTCTTGTCCTTCGGAAGGGACGTTAAATGGGGGTCCGGTGAAAGGAGAGTCACGCCTTGCACGTTAAAGATCACTCTGCTGGCTTTCAGAAAAGAGTAGGCTAATTGCTAGCCGCCACGGAGTATAGGTTATATATTTAGACTAGTGTAGGGCTTTAAGTGACAGTCCAAATTGCAATCCCTAAATTATAGAAACTAGAAGTTAGGTACCCATATCCTCCATTTTAGAACTTTTTGGCAACACTCAAAAGGCGGAATTGCAGCCATCACCCCCCACCCCCTTTTTTTTCTTCCTAGGCTCGGTATTACCGGAACAAGGACATAAAGCCCCATCAATCAATCAATCAATCACTCTGTGGCTCTGTCGTCAAGATATGGGTTACGTGACGGAACTTTGATATTATTTTCTTTTATAAGTTCCAATCGGTAGTTTTATTGACATTTAAGTACCTATGTATAAAGTCATCAGTTGTTCCGGTACTAGTTTGAAGAGCTACCAAGTTTAATTTATCTTTTGCTGGGTTTACTGAATTAGCATATTTTTCTATATCTTTAATCCACGATTTGAATAAGTCTGGTTTCCCTGAGAACGGTTTAATTATTTGAGTGACATTTTGTACTCCTACCATAGAACATACATAAGCTCGAAAGTTGTAAATTAATTTCTTGGAAAACAGAACTTGCACCAATGTTTGCCATAATGTGATTTACTTCAGTGTCGAGATAAAACTAAATCACTTACCATACTATGTCTCTGCTCCAGCCTTGTTTGAAGTGTGGGCGTGTCCGTCATGTTGAAGCTTTTTTCTCCTTCACCAAATGGACGTCCTCTTCTGTACTTTCTTCTGAATTTTGCATTTTGATGTATAGTGGTTAGATTCTGGTCGTTTACATCTTGAAGTCTCGTACTTGGAAGCGTGCCCTCATAATACATGTGATATATTTTTTTGTTGTCGCGTTGTGTCTCTTTCGGAATCCTGGTCACTGGCACCAAATCAGCTCATGTAACACAACACGAGTGACAAGGGTTGATGGTTGGTTAAGAGTTTATTCTGGTAACATCAAGTATTAGGATCGGTCTCTATCGTTTGGTTGATAGCTGTCTCTACCTGTACTAGTTCTAGCCCATCTCTAGCCGTCCCTATCTCTTCTGGCCTCTTCTCTAGCTGTCCCTTGCTCTTCCCTCTCATTATCCCCCTCCTGGGTTATATTTATACTCGATTATAATCTATTATTTCGTGCATAGTAATCTGGATTAATGTTCCCGATATACGTAATATTTACACCAGTTGCCCGAGCTGTTCCGGATATACAAAATCAAGTACCGTAAAGGGTTCATAAGCCTCACACAGCTGGTCAGTTTACACCACGTCGTATCACTGCCCAGGTTGTCCGCTATACTCAATAACACAACACCGTAACACTTGACTGTCAAGGGTCCATAGCCCCACTTGAAGCGTTGTCCGAGATATTTCCGATGTAATTAATTCTATACCTGAAATATGTAATCAGTTACACATCGTCTTAACACTGACTGTCAAGGGTCCATAAGCCCCACTTGAAGTGTTGTCCGAGATATTTCTGATGTAAATAAATCTATACCTGATATACGTAATCGGTTACACAACGTCGTAACACTGACTGTCAAGGTTCCATAGCCCCACTTGAAGTGTTGTCCAAGATATTTCTGATGTAAATAATTCTATACCTGATATACGTAATCGGTTACACAACGTCGTAACACTGCTGTGTTACAGTATTTTGATGTGTTTGACATATTGAAACCATTTTGACCTTGAAAGTAGGTCAAAGTCATTTTCTTCTTAAAATTTGTCCGGCTCTACCGAAAGAAGCTGAATATGAGGATTCTATACCGTTCAGTTCTTCAGGAGATGTTGTTTGAAGCGTTTGACATATCTGACTTCTGTGACCTTGAAAGCATGTTGAGGTCATTTTCATTCTCAAACTTTGTCCGGCTCTTTCCCAGGAAAGCACATTTTCAAAAACATAATGGATTAGGTGTTTTATATTAACAAACAATCACAGAGAATCTGTTAATGCATGTTTGTGTTTTTGTGAATTATTTCAATTTCATTGAAAGGAGGTCGGGATATTTGAATCTTTTGTTTTTTGGGCTACAAAGATGAGTGTAGGTATTGTTTATGCATTCTTAAGTTATGGTAATTATTACTGTAATGAAAAGGTAAAATAAGTGCTAAGTTAAAGATATCCTGATAAAACTTGCAGTATATATGCATCAGCCACAGACCATGTAGAGTGTGCTGTTGTTATGTCACTGTGACCTTGACCTTGAGGTCAAATAAGTGCAAAGTTTTCAGGAATATCTTGTAGGGGCCATAACTTTTAAACTGTTCAAGGGGAAACATACGTGTTTGTTCACAAAAACAAATCTCTAGTTTTACATTTTTTTTTTTATGTAGGTCCAGTTGTTACACTTGCCAGCAGATCTCTTCAGGTGAACAGCAGGTATATGTTTGAAGTGACTGTGAGTGCGACAGGAAGGCTCGATGGGAAAGCCCAGCATAGCATTATCGTCAAAAGCGATGTCCAACCAACAGTGGAAATCATGTAATTTCCGACATTTAAGTATATCTAGATTTCACACCTAGACCTGTCTTTATTAATCCCCCTGTTAACATATCTCCCTCTCATGTATACTTACTGGTATATCCGGAAACTAATACTTCATACAAATATAAGTGTCCTTAACACTTATCATTGTGTAGATTTCAGTGTCCTTCATACAACTTGTCCATGCATATTAATTGTGAGAAATGGTGTTTTGCTTTTATAATATGTATTTGTGTGTTTTACAGTTGTTTAAGTAACTGTGGGGATAAGCTGGTGCCTGGAGTTAGCTGGGTAGTGGCATTGAATCAGACGCAGGACCCAAAATACTTACACTCATGGTCAGATATGAACATCAGATGGAGTGTGTATGAGTTCAAAGTTATTACAAGGCTTCTCTTTTACCAGTTTAACACTTTCCAGCTCACATTGAACGACAGCCTGCTACACATCATCGACACTAGTTACAGCTTTTCCGTGGAATGTAAGAATTCTATCTTTCCTAGTTAAATATTTCATTGTAACATGAATAAGATTGGACACTTTATTTCCAGTAAGTCATTGAATCTTTGTTTAAATTATCACAGAACATCACAACTACTTAATATCCAGGTGTATTAAAACATCGGGGCATACTCCATGCATTTCACAATATTGTATATGTATAAACCGGAGGCCTATCACAGGGTTTATGATGATCAGATAGAAACAGATGATACCATCAGAAAAAAAAAAGGTAATACCATCAGAAAGAAAAATGGTCATACCATCAGAAAGAAAAAGGTCATAACATCAAAAAGAAACAGATCATATCATCAGGAAGTAACAGATGATACCATCAGGAAGTAACAGATCATACCATCAGGAAGTAACAGATCATACCATCAGGAAGTACAAGATCATACCATCAGAAAGTAGCAGATCATACCATCAGGAAGTAACAGATCATTCCATCAGGAAATAACAGATCATACCATCAGGAAGTAATACAGATCATACCATCAGGAAGTATCAGATCATACCATCAGAAGGTAACTATCATACCATCAGGAGGTAACAGATCATTCCATCAGGAGGTAACAGATCAAACCAACAGGAAGTAACAGATCATACCATCAAGAAGTAACAGATCATTCCATCAGGAAGTAACAGATCATAACATCAGGAAGTAACAGATCATACCATCAGGAAGTAACAGATCATACCATCAGGAAGTAACAGATCATACCATCAG